AAAACATCATTCATCAAAATAACCTTTCCATGTTTGAAAATATCCAGTTTCTTTCTTTAAAACTATGTGTTATGAGGATACATAACCAGAGCTTTTTTTAACCTAAAATACTTCCTAATTATTCTTAGAGGTTGCCATGCTTAAAATACGTTTCTGAAAATTATCATTTTATTGACTGCAGTTGTTTCAACTCACTTTTGACACAAATCTTGCTAAAATATAAATGCATTTTCACATCTTATTTTACAAGAGTAATAAACATTCCATCTTATATTGTATAGGAGTAAAGCTTTTAGTATGAGTTTTCTTTCCTTCACTTACTTAATTCAAGAAATTACCAGGCACTTTTCCAGCTCCTTTGTCTAATACAAACAGTTTTTTCCCTACCAAATCACTATGTTGGGCAATGGATAACCAACCAGAAAAGCTTGAAAAACAAAACAAAAAAATTTTTAAATATGGTTAAAAGAATGAATTTGCTTTCACTAACATCTAAGGGCAAAAGTGTGTAGGTTTGGTGGAAGGGTACAGTATTAGATATTTAGAAAATTTATACTATCCACTCATTTCCTATTTTTTTTGTAAAAGTACATGCTAATGAGATAACCATTAATCTACAAAATTGTTACAATGAGGTGAAGATGTGATTGACAAAGATTACAGCACCAGATAGAGGCAAAGAATGCCAGGTCTTCTAATAGAAATAAAGGCTATTCCAATTTACTGCATTTAGATGGCTATCTAGAATAGGAGACAAAGTGAGCATGTGGCAGGCAAACTTCCCCAGCCTCCACATCCAGGGGTTGCCCAGCCAGGGTGAGGATTCCATCCTCTCTTTCTGAAATTTCCTTTGACTATTTTCAGAGTTCTGGCCCTGTCTACAATGCCTGCCCACTAGGTAGGACCACCTCAGGACAGTGACTTCTAGACTGAGTGTGCGTGCTTTTGATATCCAAGTCATTTTCTCAGAAATGCCATCTGTTTACCATGCCCAGTTTCAGGCCTGCTTAGACCTGATCTTGCTCGGGGCAACAAAAATGAGAGACAAAAAAAATGCACTGAACTTGGATACTTCAGTATGGAATAGCTCCTGCTTAAATAGCCACAAACCAAGATTGTGTTTTTCACTGATGAAGCTTTTTGTAGGACATAGATTTAGAGTGTCATAGCTTGAGGGATATGAAGAACTTAAAGGTGGCACTAAATGAGAGAATGAAAGTAGTTAAATAAAGTCGTAAACCTGCAGTTAATTTAGAATGTATCTCTGGACGTTGTGAAGGCTGAGGTCATTAGTTTTGTAGCTGAAGTTTATCAGTTTGTCAGTGATTGATATTTCCTTTTATCATTCCTGAGTTAGAATAACATATTTGGAATATGGATATCAAGGAGGAATTTCCTATTTAAAGAGCTGTTAAAAACACTGGATTTGTTTAATGGCAAAGAGTGAACAGTTTTGCTAAACTTTTTTTAAACTTGCTTATAGTGTAAACAAACCAAAGCTTCACTGTGATAGATAGAATAGCAATGTAAAACTTTAAGGAGGAAAGGGAGGACAATCTTCTTATACATGGATAGTCATGGCCGGTGCCGTGGCTCACTTGGCTAATCCTCTGCCTGTGGCACCAGCACCCCGGATTCTAGTCCCAGCTGGGGCACCGGATTCTGTCCCGGTTGCTCCTCTTCCAGTCCAGCTCTCTGCTGTGGCCCAGGAGTGCAGTGGAGGATGGCCCAAGTGGAGGATGGCCCTTGGGCCCTGCACCCGCGTGGGAAACCAAGAAGAAGCACCTGGTTCCTGGCTTTGGATCAGCAGAGTGCGCCAGCCGTAGCAGCCCTTTGGGGGTGAACCAACGGAAGGAAGACCTTTCTCTCTGTCTCTCTCTTTCTCACTGTCTAACTCTGCCTGTCAAAAAAAAACTCAATAATTCACTAAGCAATCAGTTTCATGTCCTACCCAGTTTCTCATACCTTAACTCACTTTTTCTCTCAGACACACACACACACACACACACACATACACACACACACACACACACACACACACGTAACTGCTCTCTAACCTCACTGCTTTAATTGGTTTAGGGTAGGGTACAAGTATCAGAATTTTTTGAGAGCGCCCCAGGATACCTCTATGCAGAAACAGTACAGAACACTGTTTAGCACTTCCTTATACTCTCTCTCCAGACTGTACCCCATCCATGGGTAATCACCTGAACTACTCACTTGAACAGAATCCTTACAGTCCCTGTAGTTCCATCTTTCCAAGAAACTCACTGGTTAAAATTCAAACCCTGAAATCAAGGCCATAATGTTCTCCAGTCCAGAGCTGAGCACTGCTTAAAAAAAAAAAAAAAAAAAGCCAACAAACTAGGATTGATGACACTATGATTTTTCACTTTCCAATTTTCTTCCCTCTTGCATAGCTGTTTCTTCAATCCACCCTTCTTCCATGGCCTCCCTCCAAACTACAGTCAACCTTGACAAGACAGAGAAATTATTAATTGTATTAAGTTTCTACCCTTGAATAATATCTTTTTAATATTCTGTGTGTGACAAAATGGGAAATATGCATAAAACACTTTCCCACATACCAGAGAACAATGATTATCTTGAGTAAAAGCACCTGCATGACTGAGTTGCAAGCTAACCAAGCTGCAATTATTTTTCCAAGGAATACCATTTTTACTCGAAAGAAGAATTAACAGAAAACCTAGGCTTATTCAGACTCGGGTATCTGATATTTTCTAAACAGTGAACCAAGTGAACCTGTCATATCCAACAAAACAGATGGTGTTTGTTGCCAACAATAAGATTTGAGCTTTCAACTGAAGATTCAAACTTTGGAAAGCTTGTGTTTGCTACATGATCCTGACAGACTTCCAATACCTCTAACTGGAAGACAGCTCTCAAACATGAGAAAAGTTAAGCAATGACCATATAAATAGCAACTTAAAACTGTATTGTGTTTGGAAATGCACAAGGCAACACTGAATAAACTGCCCAAAGAACTAGAGAGTCAAAACTTGTATTTTTATGTATGTATGTATACACACACATACATACATACATACACACACACAAATTTTGAAGAAAAAGAAAATTCTACTTGGGAAATGGCTGTCAAGAAGGCTCCATAAATAAAGACGATCTGAGTTGGGAAATGAAAAACTGATAGAATTTAGAGTGATAGAAAAAAGTGAGCAAGACATCTAGGATGTTGTGATTTTTTAAGATTCCTGAAGGCAAGAGTCACATATTACAATTCTTTGCTATCTGCTAGAGAGACAAGAGCATAATCAAGTCTAAACTTGGTGAAAAAAATAAGATTTCCACACAGAAGAAGCAGAGGAGTAATAATGCAAGGCCTAGGTTAAAACCCAGCTCTGGGACTGATTTAATACACTTCACTGGCCGGCGCCGCGCTCACTAGGCTAATCCTCCGCCTTGCTGCGCCGGCACACCGGGTTCTAGTCCCGGTCGGGGCGCCGGATTCTGTCCCGGTTGCCCCTCTTCCAGGCCAGCTCTCTGCTGTGGCCAGGGAGTGCAGTGGAGGATGGCCCAAGTGCTTGGGCCCTGCACCCTATGGGAGACCAGGATAAGTACCTGGCTCCTGCCATCGGATCAGCGCGGTACACCGGCTGCAGCGCACTGGCCGCGGCGGCCATTGGAGGGTGAACCAACGGCAAAGGAAGACCTTTCTCTCTCTCTCTCTCTCTCTCTCTCTCACTGTCCACTCCTGCCTGTCAAAAAAAAAAAAAAAAAACACCACACTTCACTAATTCAAGCTAAAACATACCCACTTTGAGGATCACCTTAAGTCATTTTAACTAAAAGTACCACAGATAATAATCAGAAGAAATGAGAATGTGTGTTATTGTTTTTGTGCTAATCTTATTACTTTTCATGTTACTTTAAAATAAATGTTATTTTTATTTTTCACTTTAGCAAAAAAGAACATGTATGCAGTATGCACAAAGAAGATGGTCCATATTGTATACAACTGTATTTCTCAAATAATTCTCTTTACAGTGTTTCAATATGGCATACAGATCTTTTTTAAGAAATTTCAATATAGAATACAATTACCTTGGATTATTTAATACACAAGAGCATTGTAATATTAGACATAATTCCAATTTATTCTTCTTCAGATATCCTAAAGTATTGCACTCTTTTCCCATCATACATTTCCTTCACACACTTCTCCAGACACTCTGCCATTATCTTCTCTTTTGTACACACACACAACAAACACATTCCGCTTCATTCCTATATCCTTCTTGAAGTAACTATAGCCACTAGAGGGCAATAAGTATACGAAGATAAATGCACTTATCTATGGTAAATTGAGATTTACATCCCAATACACCTAAAGACAGTTATCAACACACACATTAAAGCATAGGCAAGTAAACTTCAATGTGCGAGGTAAATCTTTCATATTCAAAAGTTACCCTGGAAAAGGAGGCCATAAAAGGGTAAAATTAGTGATCAGGAAAGTTCTCTTTTCTCAATAAGCACTAACTCAACAAATAAGCCTAGTTCTTTTAAAAGTACATAGCAGTATTAGAATTCAGAATTTTTTAAAATAAGCCTCAGGCTGAAAAGGGGGTAACAAAAACACAGGAAGGTAGAAATTGTAAAATGAGTAGAAAAGAACTGATTTCCTCAAACTCTTCCACTATCACACTGAGAAAACAACAAACTGAAAAACCAAGACGATTTTCCAACCCTTTATTCTGCTGAAGAATAAGGACCTTACAGGCATATTTCCAGGGGGACAAAAGCAGTGATGAGAGAAATAAACACCACTTTCATTTCTCTTGCAGTTAAGAACATATAGGAAGAAAATGAACAGTGACTAATCTTTGACAGATAATTTCACTATTTTTTGCATAGAATCTAAATTCAAATAAGCTTATTTGATTTGCTTTATGCTTACTTACATTCAAAACTACAACACTTACAAGGTTAACATTTTTAACAAACAGCAATTTCCTTACCCTCATTGGATGTATATCCGCATAAGGTGGTTTTCCTTCAGCCATTTCTATAGAAGTAATGCCAAGGGACCAGATGTCAGCCACACAGTTATAGCCTATTTCTTGAATTACTTCAGGAGCCATCCAAAATGGAGTTCCTATCACAGTATTACGTTTTGCCATTGTATCCTGTAATAGCATTATGCAGACATAAATACTACTATAAAAACACAAAGGAAATCTGTATGCCAACATGTCCTTTAAAATACACGTTAAACTCTTAAATACCACAGAGTACATCTGAAATGAACTATATTGCTAAGATTTCAACTAGTCACAATACAATATATTCAGGAATTTTAAATTATGAAATAAATAAGAGCCTAACAAGTAACCTACTTCTACTATCTTCATTAAAAAGCCATTAAAGGCCGGCGCCGCGGCTCACTAGGCTAATCCTCCGCCTTGCGGCGCCGGCACACCGGGTTCTAGTCCCGGTCGGGGCGCCGGATTCTGTCCTGGTTGCCCCTCTTCCAGGCCAGCTCTCTGCTGTGGCCAGGGAGTGCAGTGGAGGATGGCCCAAGTGCTTGGGCCCTGCACCCCATGGGAGACCAGGAGAAGTACCTGGCTCCTGCCATCGGATCAGCGCGGTGCACTGGCCGCGGTGGCCATTGGAGGGTGAACCAACGGCAAAGGAAGACCTTTCTCTCTGTCTCTCTCTCTCACTGTCCACGCTGTCAAAAAAAAAAAAAAAAAAAAAGCCATTAAAAATTAATCAACATAGCTTCCCTTTTACAACACTTAAGCATTTGAAAGCAAGGTATATTTTCATATTCAATATCACTAATTATAAATAAAATAAATAATGCTCAATTTGGTTCAATTATTGCTTTCTCCAGAAGAACAATAAAGTCACACATTTCCTCCCATACTCCCCAGAGTTAACAAAGTTTAGATACAAACCAGAACAAATCAGACAAACGTGTTCTCAAAATTATTAAAGTCAACTTACTGTTAACTGACCAGCCACACCAAAGTCTGCCAATTTTGCGTGTCCTTCTGTATTGAGGAGAATATTTCCAGCTTTTATATCTCTGTGAATTTTCCTCATAAAGTGCAAATATTCTAGTCCTTTCAATGTAGATTTAAGAATGGTTGCAATTTCATCTTCTGTTAACTGGAAAGAAATTTTTTAAAGTCATACTGAAATACCATGTCAGATAAATTCTTATAAGAGAGCACTAGGAACAACATTTCTTTCTAATGACCACTACATCTTTAGGAAGAGCCTAAAGGTTAAAATAATAAATAACATGTTTTCCATCTACAATGTTGTTAGTCATTCTCATTATAAATTTTACTGATGAAATGAGGATTAAATTTCTTTTCTGTTTAAAATTAGCAATGTACTTCATATGGCATTGACCATATCCTAAGAACCAGCATGACCATAAAAAAATCAGTATTTCTCACTTTGTCTAACATTTGGTCAGTGCACTATTGCAATTCTCTGTCCTGAAAAAGTAAATTGAGACACTTTTCCCTGAATTCCTCTGATTTTTGAAGAAAATGAAAGCCCACAACTTTACAAAAAGGAAAGACAATGAGGATAGGTAGCTAGACACAAATCTCCATCATGAGAAGAGCTGGCACAAATGCCACTCTTCCTGCTTCCAACCATGTCACTCTTAATCCAACCAATTCCTAGGCTTCTGACCTAATACTGAAAACTCAAAAATGAAAATGTCAGAGAAAGATGTGGGATATGGAAACACAAAAAAGCAGTTAAAGGAAAGAAAGGAGAGAGAAGAGAGAAGAAGGGCAAGTCTATCTATAATAGGCATTAATGAAAGTCAGCATTCATTATCTCATTTATCCTTACTACAGTCCTATATGGTGGTTTCATATTATGAAATGACAAGAAATAAATATTTGCTCTTTCTTTCCCAGGTTTCTAGCACAACAGCTCCTTAGGTGGAGTAGTAGGTAAAGGCAATGCCTGCAACAACGGTACCCCACATGAGTGCCGGTTTGGGTCCCAGCTGTTCCACTTCTGTTCCAACTCCCTGCTAATACGCCTGGGAGAGCAGTGGAAAATGGCCCAAATTCTTGTGCCCCTGCACCCATGTGAGAGACTTGGATAACTTCCTCTCCTGGCTTCAGCATTTCCTACCTCCGACTGTTGTGGCCATTTGGGGAGAGAACCAGCAAATGAAAGACCTATTAATTATGGACTTAAAAAAATAAAAATTGCTCTAAGACCTACATGTAAGACCTAAAACTGTCCAACTCCTAAGAAAAAAAACAGCAAAAGCTTCACAATATTAGATTTGGTAATGATTTCTTGAATATGACAAAAATATATATGCAACAAAAGGAAACAGACAAATTGGGCTTCATAAAAATTTTTAAAATTTGTGCATAGGAAAGAAACCAATATCAACAAAATGAAAACACAACCTACTGAATGGAATGGAAGAGAATATTTGTAAATTATGTATCTAACTAGAGATTAATATCCAGAACATACAGAGAACTCCTAAAGCTCAGCAATGAAAAATAAATAAGTAAAAATGGGTAAAGGGTTGAAGATATTTTTCCAAAGATAGACAAATGGCCAATAAGAACATGAAAAGATCTCCAGCATCATTAGTCATAATGGATATTAAAATCAAAACTTCAAGATATCATTTCACACTCATTACCACAGCTATTATCAAAAAGCAAAATAATAAATTTTGGCAAAGATGTGGATAAACTGGAATCCTTGTGCACTCTAGGGAGAAATATAAAATGGTACAGCTGCTGAGGAAAATAAAAATTCAACCACAGAATTACCTTTTGACTCAGGAGTTCAGCTTTTGGGTATAAACTCAGTAGAACTAAAAACAAGTGCTCAAGATTTTGTACAACCAATGCTCATGGCAGATTAATTCACAGTAGACAAAAAGCAGAAACCACTCAAGTATCCACTGACAAATGAAAAGGTAAGCAAAATGTAATATTATTCAGCCTTAAAAAGGAAGGCAATTCAGCAATATACTACAGCATAGGCAAATTTTGAGCACATTATGCTAGGTAAAATAACCCAAACATTCACAATTAAAAAATGAATACTGTATGAATCAGGCAATATGATATTTAGAACAATCTAGAATATCTAGTAAAAATCAGACATAGAAAGTCAAATGGTAGTTGCCTGGGGCTGGGTAGAAATAAAGACTTGGTGTTAATTCCAAGATGGCAGAATAGGAAAAATGTGTACTACTCTAGGCTAGGGAAAAACAGTTTAAAAAAAAAAGAAAGAAAGAAAAAGGGGGCCAGCGCTGTGACTCAGTAGGTTAATCTCCGCCTGTGGCACCAGGAATCCATATGGGTTCCAGTTCTAGTCCTGGTTGCTCCTCTTTTGATCCAGCTCTCTGCTGTGGCCTGGGAAAGCAGTAGAAGATGGCCCAAGTGCTTGGGCCCCTGCACCCACATGGGAAACCTAGGGGAAGCTCCTGGTTCCTGGCTTCAGATCGGCCTAGCTCCAGCCATTGCAGCCATCTGGGGAGTGAACCAGCAGGTGCAAAGCCTTTCTCTCTGTCTTTCTCTCTCACTATCTGTAACTCTAACTCTCAAATAAATAATAAAAAAAAAAAAAGAAAGAAAAGGAAAAAAAGTAGAGAAAGTAAATTCTCAGGGGAGAGTTAGAAAACTGTGGTGGAAATTCTACAGAAGGAAGAGGGATGCCGTGGATCTGTTTAGAAGGTACAGATGTGCAGCAATGAGCACGGACACACACACCCAGCAGCCCAGATGAGAAAAGCACCAGCTTTGGAGAACAAGGTGAGATCAGACTGCAGTGGCCTGTGCCACTGGTAATGCAACTGGAATGAGAGCCTGGCAGATTACACTGTCTCTGAGTCTGGCCTGAAACCCTAAGGGGGACAGAATGCCCACTAACCCATTGAGAAAAAAGGACACATTTCTCCCTTCAACCCCTCCACAACGGCATCCAGAAAATGGCTGAGAGATGGCAGGGGCCATTTTGGACAAAAGTAGCAGCTGCAGCAGCTCTTGGGTGCACCCAGTAACTGACAGGGACAAGATGCCATCTTGACACCAGTAGCAGCAACAGTTCAGGTGCACACACCCAGAAACAGGCAGGGAGAAGGAGTCATTCTGACATCAAGACTGGCTGCAGAGGCTCTTGTGCACACCATGCAACCAGCAGGGAGAAGATACCATTGTGAAATGAGTAGAGGCTGTGGCCCTGTGATCCAGGGATTTTACTAGAGGGAGAAATCCACATTCCCCACTGACTTTGAGTCTAGCTGAGAGCACTGTCAGGGGATGGGGCACCCATGTATGACTGTGAAGTGCCCCTCCACTCTCAACATATCACAGGGTATGGGGACCAAACCACATAGGCAGAGCACCCACAGGCAGCTGACTCTGGGAATGTCTTAGCCTCTCTATGGATGGGACAGGCTAGCAGGGCAGAGTGGATCCTCTGCAACCCGTGACTGTGGGAGCCCAGTATGCTGAGACTGTGGGAACTCTGCATGAGAGATGGCAGGGTGTGGATGGGTCTTTGGGCAATCACTGAGTGCTACTCTCTCCACATGCTCAGATCTCCCTGAATGCCTGGGGTGGGTCACTGTAGCTGGATCTGTGCTCACACTGAGGACTGCACAGATCCTTTGTGCAGTTCAAGCGGCAGCACAAAGCGTGGATGAATACTGCACCCACTGTGGGCTAACACATGGGAATTGATCACCTTGGTAGAGAAGAGGTGAGGGTATGACTATGCCAATAGAGGTGATCATACCGTCCTTTTGGTTAACAAGATCTACCACGCCCAACTTGGGTGTCACCCTGCATACTTGCCCCACCCTGAATGGGGGGGCAGGGGGCAGAACCTCCCAGCCACAACCCAGGACACGCCTTTGGGTATTCACCAAAAGAGCAGACAACTCCACTAACCACAGAGGCATAGTTCAAAAATAAAAGCCACCCAGAGGAGAAAACCAACATGTATTTCTACAAATGCTTAAAAATAAAAGTAGAAATTTAAGAAACAAGAATAAGGAAGATGTGACCCGCCCCCAAAGGAACACAACACTTCAATATTAGAATATGAAGATGAAAAGACTGATGAAATGCCAGAAACAGATTTCAAAAGATTAATCATAGGATTACTCAGAAGCAATGAGAAGTAAATTCACAAGTTAAATAAATCCATACATGAGATATGAATGAAAAAATTTTCCCATGAAATTGGGATTTTGAAAAGAAATCAAAATGAAACATTAGAAATGAAAAATTAAATGTCAAATAAAAAATGCAATGGAAAGCCTGAACAACAGACTTCGTGAGGCAGAAAAAAGAAAATCTGAGCTAAAAGACAAATCTTTTTAAATTGTAAGACCGACAAAAAAAAAAGAAAAAAATTAGAAAAAGTAAAACCTGTGTTAGAGATTTATGGGATACTATCAAACAACCCAACAACATATGGGCCTTAGGAGTTTTAGAAATTTTGGAAAGAGAGTATGGATTAAAAGGTCTATTCACTGAAATAATTACAGGAAACTTGCCTAACATGAAGAAAGGGACATCCAAGCACACACAAAGGGCACAGAACTCCTTATAGACATGATCAGAAAAGATCCTCATCATGACACATTGTAGTCAAACTTTAAACAGTAAAACATAAAGAAACGACAAATGTCAGATTACTTCCAGAGGATCTCAATTAGACCTACAACTGACTTCTCATCAGAAACCCTACAGGCTAGGAGACAATGGAGAGACATAGCCCAAGTCTAAGAAAAAAAAAAAAAAACTGTCAACCCAGAATACTGTAGCTCTCATTTATGAATGAAAGTGAAAGAAAGACCTTCCATAACAGAAATTAAAAGAACTTATCAACACTCATCCCGCCTTATAAAAGATGCTTAAAAACATACTACACACACACACACACACACACACACACACAGAAAGATAGTCATCATTATGAAAGAATGTGAAGGCAGAAAATCCCCCGGTAAAAGTACAAAAGAAATCCAAAGCAAACAAAAGGTACATTTATGGAAAAATGGCAGGGCCAAGTTCTTACTGATCAATAGTAACATGGTGTAAATTCTCCAATTAAAAGATACAGGCTAGGGGGACAGCACTGTGGTATAATAT